GTAAGCTTAGATAACTGCCAGCTCAGCCGTGATAACAGACATAGACAAGTTGTTATTAGTTTGGTAAAAAGCATATCTTTTCTTTGTCCATGTTCTATAATATAAATGTGGGAATCAAGGATTAGAGAATGTAGGAAATACAAATCATTACTGAAACAGTAAATCAATTGCAGGTTTGATTATTTTCTTACAAACACTGGGGTCTGAGATCTACGTCTTCCACATCCACTGCACAATGAAGAGAGATGTGCCATGTAGCTGAGGCCTGCTGATTCAGTTACTGATCTTGACTTTCTTCATCTAATATTTTTAACATGAGTTGAACTGACACATAGTTAAAAGTTTGTCCATGTAGTGTGTTGGTCCTTGGAGAAGTTGGAATGGTAAGGTACTATACAGTAGAGGACAAGTAATGTCAGTAACACCTAATGAGATAAGCAGGAATTGGGACTTGGTGCCAATGTTGATCTGCAGGGAACATAAGAGCATTCAAGCAGCAGTCTGTTTTCTTCATTACCTGATGGGAAACCATCACCAGTCCTATTCACAAACCCATACTTTCCTTTTGATTTTGAGCTATGAATGAACCTTTTAAATGAATGTGTATGAATTAATGTATTTAACAGATGTGGCAATATTCAAGAGTAACATATAAGGCATTATTTTTAATAAGGCAGAACAAATAAAGTGTCAGAGGAAGACTGAGAAAGTAATGGAGACTGGGGAAATGTAGGGTTAGGGTCTTCTGAAATCTATAAAAGAATTACTTCCTGTTGAGGTAAGTGGTATGTGTCATGTGTCTTGTCAATGCATCAGTGAGATGAAGATTGATGATCCAGATTTGTAGGTATGAGGCTAAGAGGCCACGTGAGGGGGTAAGGACTGGTGAATAGCGTAGAAAAGGCTGCAGGTGTTTCGGGTGTAATGGGGCTATCAGAGCTAAAGGGAGGAGAGTATAGGAGAGTCACTGTGTTATTATATTTTTAATAAACAAGATTTTACTTACATACTAGAACAATTATACATGACAAGTTAGTTTCTGACATGTTATTATGATCTGGTGACATGGAACTTTAAAAGCATTTTTGACAAAAACATAAAGATGACTGTGTAGTGTGTAAGATGGATTAAAATAAAGGCCTGGTTCAGGCAGGTCTATGGAGAGTTATACAAATAATTACACACATGTGTTTGTGCATCCATGCATGGTACTTGCGGGTGGCCTGTGTAATGCATCCGAATGCACAGCTGAACCAAGGTAGAAATGGATATCTTAATGTCAAATGTGAATGTTGCTGTTCTGGTTCAACTTCAGACTGGTCTCCATGAATGAAATTCTCCAATGTTGTGTGGGTCACAGTTAACTGGATTGTTTCTGGATACTGACAGAAAGTAAGGGGGCTGTTTACAGGTACATGTGTAATGAGATATACTTGACCAAAAACCACTCAAGGCTATGGATGTCAGAGAGCCCCTGAGGTGTGATAAGTGGAAGCTTTAACATGGTGCCCCATCTGGAATTATTTACAATTACTTTTCCATTCTAGCAATCTAGTTTGTGTACAGCAGTGGTTACAAATTGTTTCAGTTCATAATGCAAAAACAATGGCACTATGCTTTGGGTTTTGATAGGAAAAGTTTGGGGATGATTCTGTCGTTGCGTCTCTCCTTGACATTGGCGATGATGATCACAGGCCTGTGGCTCTAAGCACCGTATTTGAAGATAAACGTTACTAAGACTAAAGAGATGGTAATTGATTATTTATATTGTTTAATTCCACATAGCCATTAAGCTATTCACATAATGATGCATACTATAGTTAAACCTTTTCTTGAAAGCTATCTTTCAAGAGTCATTGTACTAACATGTAAGCTAAGTTAGAATGATGTTCAGCTGATGAGATGCAGAGTGTGACAGATGACTCTCAGGAAAGGCTGAGCCAAGTTAAAGATAGCAAAATTCTGTAACCTGGATCATAAAACTGTATGTTTTTTTGTATCTATTTGAGATTTCAGTGGGGTGGAAGCTTGATGGAACAATTAAATTGTATTTAGGAAGGATGCTGTGTTCTGACAGTGTACACATAACGTCACTAACATATTACTCTTTGAGCAACATTTGAATTTCTGCGTTATAAACACCTTCTTAAATGCCTTAACAGGGAATGAATAGATGTTTTTTCTCTTTACTTGGCAGCCTTATGATTAATGTAAATGACCCTGAGCTCATATAGAGAACTCATTAGGGCTCTTAGGAGCTGCTTGATCAAAGTGGGGATGTGTAGGTGGGCAGAGCCCTGAGGTTAAGGGCCTATGTCGCCTCCCTATGAGTTAATGAAAAATGCAGGGCAGGGTTGTTTCTTTGTGTGCAACTAAGCGTATGTGCATTTGTCAGGGTTAAACAGATAGCTTCTTAGATCCTCCCTAGTGAAGGGGAATGCGCTGACTGCTGGACTACTGAGGAAGTAAAGGTTGTAAAGGCCAAGACAGAGTAATGCAGCCCAGGAGGCCAGGGCAGGGGAATGAGGACCTGAAGAGCTGCAGCATCACCCCACTGTTTATTTATCCTTTTCCTGGGGAAAGCAATGCACATTACAAAAATGTGCAGGCATATAGCATAACTTGCTAATTTTTTATTTAATTCTTTTCTTATTATATAAATATTAAGGTAAAGATGATTATGAAGAGTCACACTAGAAGAACCACTACTTCTAAACCTGTAATAATCTGAACAGTTCATCATATTCTGTAGAAATTCCTGAAACAAAATGCATCACTTCAGATGTCCCAGGTAACCCTGCCTGCCCTTAGAAACCAAGTGTGGGTGTGGCCTGAAAAACAGATATGGCGACCCATCCTTTGTTTCTGAGGTCCTGCAGAATTCTGGAGATTGGCCAAATTACACAACAATTTAACATCCAGATGAACAAAGTAACCACTGGCATTCAAAGTGCTACTTCCACTGTGTCTGGCAATAGATGTGAAAGTAATATTTCTCTTTAATAACTGCTGTAGAAATAAATCATTCTCCTGTGACCTTGTCTGTAAGTTTATTTTGATTGCTGTTCTGTCTTCTGGTTTATTTTACCTACTCTGCATTTGTACCTCTTCCTCTGCAGAGGGAAGATTTATCAGATTTATTTGAATAAATTCAGCACTACTTTTCAAAACTACTGGGCTTTGCATCTCATCAATTAAAACAGTCTTTACAGAGTACTGATATTGTATCTCACATGGTCAGCTAAAGACATTTTTGCTCTATATGGACTGCTGTGGCTTTGTGCCGTTATCAGGCCAAAACATTCATATACGTGGATACTCACATGCTTTTTGTATCAATATTTTATAGTATATGTTTTATGTGTCTATGTATGGAAATAGAGACATTATTAAGCATTATATCTGTGCCACAGGGGCTATTTTCCATAGCCTGCTGTTGGTTTATAACACTGGCCAAGTTGTTCATGGGTGGTTTTCCCTTACCTGGATAAGAAAACAAATCAAATACAGTGTAGACAAAACTGACAAGTCCCCAAAAGGACTAACAGGGGAATCTTGGCAATGCCTTGTCTGTTTGCTTAGCATGTTGAAATCTAAAACAGAAATAGTTTTCAGGGCTTTTTTTTGTTCTACCAGAGGGGCCCTGGAGCACATTTACTGTATGTTGGCTCTTCCTTATTGGCAACGCATCTACAGTATGTGCTTTAGATTAACCTTTGCATAAATACCTGGGGATTCAGGGAATTTGACATTATACTGCTACTTATGTGATTAAACAAAGCCTAAGTAAATGTTAATATAAAGCCAAGTTTGGCAATGATCAGCCACACTTTTGTGTTTGTTAGAGAAGAATGTGATATAAGGCAGACCTTGATTCATTCGCTTGTTACTTTAAACATGCTATTCATCACACAACTTTATCAGTAAAAGTGATTCTCCAAAAAATAGTAAATATCCTTTCCTTTCCACCTTAACCTCTAGAGTCCCTGCGTCCTCATATGAGGACCGCACAGCTTGGGTTTCCAAAGCTCAGGACTCTAGAGGTTAATCTTCTTCCTTGACATACGGTGTCCAAGTGCAATGCATCTCTCTTCTTCTTCCTTAACAGACGGTGTCCAAGTGCAATGCATCTCTCTGTCACCATCTCCTTTTTCTGAGCCAGACATTCATGCTATCATCAGTGAAAAGTTTGGCTATTTTCTGCCATGTGAACAAGAAGAGCAACGACAATAGCAGGAGTTTATACAGTCTGTGCAAGATTACACAAATATTTTTGCATGTTAGATGGAAAACTCTGTCCAGGTGCATTTTGGGGAATACTAATTTCCATCAGGAACATTTCTAGGAAGGTTGGTTGGGATATTGGTCAAGAAACCAGCATGGAACTATTTACCCTCAAAGAAGAGAAAGAACATGGGAAACATGGGAAGATCATGAAAACAGTTCTTATGCTCAGCAAATTGGCTCAACATAAGCCTTATTTTGAAATAGCTGATTGAATTTAGATTAGAGTTAAAGTACTGGAATATGTTTTATGATGTGAGGAGGCAGGATATTCTTGAGGCTTTGGGTTGTTTTTTGTTCACAAATAAAGATTTCTCAGTCTTAGTCTTATGAATGAAGTCTGTGAAATTCAACATGTGGTTAGATGCAAGTTTTACTTTCTCCTGCTTCTGTTGTTTTGTCTCAATGATTGCTCCTTAAAGACTGGTGACAGACTCACTAACAACAGTTTGGTTTTTAACCCTGGCAGTTCACCGACATCAAAGCATGTCTGACAGAGTGATCGACTCGCAAGGCAGCTGGGTCATGATCTGCACAGTGTTGAGTGAAGGTTTTGTTGCTTTTGTTTCTGTTGAAAAGAGAAAGAACTAAACAGAAAGAAAGATTAGCTGGAAGGGTACTAAAACCCTTATGTCCTCACAATTGATTTTGCTGCAGTGTTCTGTAGACGGTGCATGTTACGTTAGAAAAGCTGCCTTTTTAATCCTTTCTTTCAGATGTTAATGAATGTGAAGTGGATGAAGGTGGCTGTGAAGGTTACTGTTGCAACACCATTGGCAGCTACTACTGCAAGTGTCCCGAAGGCAGGAGACTGGGACCAGATGGCAAGGCATGTCATGGTAAGATAGACATCTGGATGTAGTGAGTGTACACAAGCACAGACAGACTGTGGCAGGCTCTCTGCACAGCTGGGGCTCCCTTCACTGTTTTATGAATAGAAGAGTTTTTTCCACTTTAGAATCTGAATGAATTTATGCTGAAGATGTCTGTTTTGTTTCTAAACGAAATGTGATGTGTGCACATTACAATATGCCCTAAAAGTACCTTGTGGAATTTGTGACTTTGTAGCACTGTGGAACAGTTTTTATACATGTGGGTCCCCTTTTTGGACAAAAATATAGAGACACTTCTGATCATGATGTAGTCCAGTACAACACCACTTTTTTGTTCAGCGAAGCTCCAGTTTATAACATAAAGAATGACTCAAGCGGAGCTAACTGTGCCTTGTTCATGACAAGCGTCCTTTTAAATTAAATATTTGGCAGAGTCAGAAGTAGACTGATGTTCTTAATACAGTAAGTTTGATCTTTAATGGCTTGTGGATGGCGTTGTTGTGTTGTTTCATGGCAATAATCTGTTCTATGAATGAATCATTTTCTTAGTGCACATTTGCACATATACTGTATGTATGTGTTTGTTAAGACATAAATGAGTGTGAGGAGCTCAATGGAGGATGCCAGCAAACATGTGTCAACACACCAAGCTCTTATTACTGTGAGTGCAGTGAAGGCTTCCGCATGCACGCTGATGGTCGGACCTGCATTTGTAAGTACTACACAGAAATATTTATTGAACTTACACTTGGATTATCCTCTACACATTTATAACGTAGCTTTTTTGCAAACAATCCCTCAGTGATGTAGAGGAATAGCACAGATAGATTGCAATGTAACACAATATTAGAATCATCAGATTGTCATTTCTGAGAAATATGAGATGGAAAAAATGCTTTTTCCTATTTTAGCACCATAAAACCTGAAGCAGTGAAAGATTTTGTTACATGTTGAAAATCAGTAGCCCTCTGTTGCTTTTGAACTTGTTTTTCATTCTCAGTACTCCAAGGTTTGACTGCTGCTTTGTGGTAAGCGGTCTGTTGAAGTCATCACAGTTAAAAGCCAGTCATTCTCATCTTGTCTGTGTGCAGCACCCAGAATATACACAACTTATATGCATATTTGGCACATCATTACATCCCAGGAGTAATGGAATGGAAAGATCATTAAAAAGTAACTACTAGCCATTTATCGTTACTCAAATATCATCTTCCAGTTTCCAGCCTCTGCCAGTGCTCTCCGTGTAGTTACAAGGTTGCAGAGTTTGAAGTGTGGAATCCGCTTTACGTTGCCAGGAAATTATAGTTATTAAATGATGTGTAACTTGTCAGAAATTTAAATCCATTTATTCTGTAAATGAATTCACCTACCTGAGCTGATGGGCTGTATATTTATTTACAATTTGTTTGTTTTTGTGTCTGTTTCGCTTTTAAGCTCTAAATTCATGCTCGGTGTTGAACGGTGGCTGTGAGCACAAGTGTGTGGACATGGGGAACGATCACTACAAATGTGAGTGTCGGAAGAACTACCAGCTAAAAAGAGATGGGAGACACTGTCAGTGTAAGTCATTTTACCAACAGATGTTCAATACGCATGAACATAACGTGTCATAAGCTTCTAAATGTACAAAATAGAACAAAATGCTGCAAAATGAGGATTGCTGTGGAAAGGCGTTCGAGAAACAGCTTTAGAAAGAGGCACTGTAGAGTAAACAGCAGGGATTTCTCTCTCTTCCTGAGTTTTACAGTTTGTTTTCATAACCAGACTCACCCAGTCTGTGAAAACCATTTTTGTGCTGTTTCTGCATAAGAAGTTTCATGTGGATGGTTGAAATGTAGATGTTACCCCTGGAGCTGAGAATTAAAACTATCTTTGTTAGCTAATCAGTAGGGTCACAGAGTCGCCTGCTGAGCTGACCTGGCTAAAATGTGTCTGTATGTGTGTTTGTATCAGTGAGGGACCCCTGTGAGGAGAGGAATGGAGGCTGCGCCCAGCTGTGTCTTTCAGAAGACAGCCGGGTTCACTGCAGCTGCCGACCTGGTTATACACTGGCTGGAGATGCCAAGAACTGTGAAGGTGAGGAATCACACACACAAAACACTAATAGCTGATACTGTATATCACATAGGCTGAAAAAAATGTTTCCTGGAAGCTGATACACTTTAAGAGAATGACACTTATCATTTTTCCATAAGTTACAGCCACACTAAAACTTCCTTCTGAAAGCAAATCGGCTCAGCCACAGATCTGTACTGATTTGAGAGGCTGATGTTGGAAACTGTTCTTACAGTCCATTGACTAACATTTCTTCTGGCAGGAATGGGAAGCCAGAGTAATCAGAGCCCTGACAAAGCTATCCTGCCTAAGGAAGAAGTTGCTACATTGTTTAGAAATCCTTCACACATCCAGATTTTTTAAGACAACTTAGGGACACAGATTTGTAATGCTTGCTTATCAGTGTGACAATATGTGTGGTTCATGAACCTTAAGTGTCAAAAACCCAGCTCCAAACAAAGGCATTGTTAGCTAAGTTTCTCTTTATCTCAGCCCCTTATAACCCCTTCTGGCTGAACTGTAAGAACCCGAGACCCTTAACATTTGTAATGCAGATAAGGGCTTGAAGTTAGTATGAACTATTTGTGACATTTATAACTTTTGTTAGGGTTCTGGGTGAAGGGTGAAGAGGTTCAGTGGTTGCAAATAGGAGTACATCTTCAACTGGGCATGTAAACTGGCTGATACAGGTGAGTACAGCATAATGGCTGGTCCTGAGGCAGACAAACAGGAACACAGTTGATCAAGGGGCAACAGGTAAAGGTTCTCTCTGAGGTAGTAGCCAGAGTCAGCAGAAAACAGTTTGTTATCATACAATCAGATTTGAGCAACAGATCAGGGCAGGTAACTGGCCAGATCCAGAGGAAAGTGATGGGTCCTTGCACAGATGGGGCAAGTACAGTTTTGCACTTTCATAAAACAGATAAATCTTTGGTATGAATTGTTTCCCATCATTATTTTTGTGCCAAATTTTAGTCTTTTTTGTGTTGTTTTGGTGTCTATGTAGTGTATACATGTATATCCAATATCAGTGTGTAAAACCTGCTGTTTGTCTTATAGATATTGATGAGTGCAGTTCAGGCCATGCCAAGTGTTCCCATGGATGTGTCAACATGTTGGGCTCCTTCAGCTGTGTGTGTCACCCAGGCTTTGAACTTGGCGCGGATGGCAAACGGTGCTATCGTAAGTAAAGACAGCAGAAACAAATTTCTTTGTCCAAATGAGCAAATCATTGCTCAGCCTCAGCATTTTTATCCAAATGGTTATTTATCTTGAAAGTAAAGAACAGAAACATGTATGCATTGCAGTGCTGTATCATGATGTGATCATAAAAATGAAACTGAAATAGGAAGAAACACATAATTCATCTTGTCAAGTTATCTGCCAAAAAAAGACACAGCAGTTTGACATTGTGTAAGCATCTCTCTGCTCTGAATGCCTGCAATGCATGATTTATTCCATTAAAACATAAAACATGTGTCATGACAATAAAAACACGCTTGACATTATATCAAAAATGTCCATTCTAATTTCATGGCAGTCATCTCAGGCATAGTACATCAAAGAAGCACACTTCAAAAAGCACAAAGAAGTGTACTTAACCTTTCCAATTCTATGGTAATGTACACTATATAATGTCCATATGTTAACAAACATACGCAAACACTGTCCATATGTTTCCATTCTGGTTACGCACTGCAGCTTTGGTTTTGGTCTTCTCTATTCCAGGCATTGAGATGGAGATTGTGAACAGTTGTGAGAAGAACAACGGAGGCTGCTCTCATCGCTGTGAGCACACCACCAGTGGCGCCCTCTGCTCCTGCAGCCATGGCTACCAGCTTGACCAAGACAGGAGGACCTGCGTAGGTAAGAACATCTCTCTGTGGAGTCTAGTTCTCTGTCTTTGTTTCTTTATTTCTTCTCTTTCACTCTCCTTTCATTTTCACTCACTTTCTAACTCTTGTGTGTTTCTGTCCACCACTGCCTGCTTTCCTCAGACAGTGATGAGTGCAGCGATGAGGAGTCCTGCTGCAGTCACTTCTGTAGAAACAACCCGGGTGGCTATGAGTGCAGTTGCAGACCCGGCTACAGACTAAACCCAGACGGCTGTGGCTGTGATGGTAAGAGTGCTGGTCTGGTGCTTTTTAGTCTTTTAAATGTTGTGGCACAGCTGAGCAGGAAGCAAGTGCACATTTACCGATTGCTGAACTGGTTTCAGAGCTGGACACAAAGACATTTTGCTTACTAAATGTTAAACTTTGCATAATCTAGAACAACTGCCAGGCCAGTAGCAAAGCAGAAATCAAAACCTGTATCTGATTTGAAACTAAATTACATTACAAGGCCCACCTGAGCTTGATCTGTATGACCTGTCTGCTATTTAACTTACCCATCGCCAATCTGTTACATGCAAACTGCATGCAAAGAAATGGGCTTCACCTGAGTTATTACTCTTTCAGTGCGTTAGGTTTGTGTTGTTTGTGTGTTTTTCTGTTAGACATCGATGAGTGCCTGGCAGAGACTTCAGGCTGTGAACATTACTGTGTCAATGCCCTGGGAACGTACGAGTGCTTTTGTCGACTGGGCTTCCGCTTGGA